CTGGATACAAAGGACCTCTGTGACACGTGCGTAAACTTTACCCCCAGATTAGCCGCTGAGGTACGCGCACCTCATTATCCGCACTCACTACCCTTGATGTACCCTACTTCAGTGCACACCCGCATGTAGATTTAGGACGCACCAAATGGTGCACATTAATGGTGTGTGAAAGAACTACAGTATCAGTGATAAAGCCATCTGCTACTCCTAATCACAGCTCTGTAAACATTCAGCATTGAACTGGAACGATGTCAGTCAAACGGTCGGATATTATGCCATCACGAATTGATAAGGGAATGGGAGTGAGTTCCGCTTCAGGTACTGAGAGACGATCGTTGAATTGTGTCAGTGGTACTGCCTTCATGCGCGATGCAACAGATTTCATACTTGAAACTCATTACTGTTGCCTTTATCTGTTGTTATCATTTTTTGTAATCAATCGTCTATGTCCTATCCTACACCTTATGATACGACGAATGGAGCCGTGACCCAGTGGTGCTTCGACGGGCGCTGTAATTCAAATGGAAACTCAGGATTTGGGAAGCTTACTTTTCGGAAGACCCTTGTCAGATATCAGCTGTTATAGGTTACTGCCATTTACCAAGTTCCTGTCACGGCCTTGCGCTACTTCTTGGAAAAGCGTCTCTCTGCCAATGGGACCGACGTCATAGATTTCGTGACATACAGACAGATATCCTTAGCGGATTATATGTAGTAGTACCATTTGCTCCATGAACGCCCTTCTTCTCCCCTGCTGAACTTCGCAATGACTACCGATATCGCCATCGATTGATGACCGGTTGAAAACTCCGTGGATATGCTTCCGAAGAAGTTCGCCCCAAAGCGTATCAGAACCGACTAACCGAAGAGGTTTTGCAGAAGTTTGATCCATGTTGGAGTTTTGTAAGGAGGGGTCAAAGTGTTTGGTCCGTACATTCTTAATCTTTCTGCCGCTTCTCCGTATGAAAGGCCCTAAAACTGACAGATTACAAGTAATTGGCAGTAACACCATCAACGATCTCAAGTGAAGTCGCTCTAACCAATTCTTTATCCGTTTTCAAACGGAGAATCAGTTCTTCGAGTGGGATTTTGTGGTCATCCTGAAATGTGATGCGCTCAAAAAATCAGCCTTTGTAAAGGCGTCACTTTCCTGAACTCAAAGAGAACGGAACAAAACCACTTCGTTCATCGTCAAAAGTAAAGGGCTTACTATGTCAATGTCCCTCTTCAAATGGTCCAAGTTGCGTTTGTCTCTCCCGAAGATTGCCCTCATCGATAACCGCTCTTGTTCCTTCAGCAACAATCTTCACCAGACAGACAAGTAAGAATGAAACCACCTTCGCGACTATTTATCAAGATGAGCTTCATATCATTCAAACCTGAATGCACTGTGTATCACTGAATTCGACAACATGGATGGACTGGTGCATTAGAATGATAGTGTGTACAAAAAATTTCGCGCGTTTTTTTCGCACCAGTAAAGCACTGTTCACGGTCTGCGGACCTGACGAATCAGAGGTTCGGCGAAAAGCAATAAATACGTGTCGATCGGAGAATCGTCAACCGCTCTGACGTAACGCCAGTGCGGTTCGGGGTTTCGGCGAAAAAGGTTAGATGCCTATCGATTTTGCTGACTCCGCCCGAGACAAAAACGCCAGAGCGGACGGCGCCAGCGTTTTCGCGCAAGGGAAACGCCGAATCGCATATGGATATGCTGAACAGTAGTTGAAGTGATCCCCTCGATTCCTTTCACTGACAAATTAATGGCCCTACACTAAGAGCAAAGCTTACAAAAGCCTATAAAGGTCTCCATCCCACCCTTTTGTTTATTGATTTGTTTCTCTCCCGTGGACATCTAGCCAACTAGTATAAACTCCCGTACATAGGTAGGTCCCCGGCTTTAAGTCGCAGCGACAATCTACAGGCGATTTGTACACAATTTGTTTAATCACGTCAGTGTTCGGCTTTTCTCTGCGCCCTTACGTTTGCATGGCACAGTATGATCACTGTGAGCTCCAACATTCCAGCTTCGCACGCACGGTTGTGGCAGTGTGCCAGAGTGTTCTGTTTTGCTCTAGACTCCTTGGTTCAAGGTATGTTCAACTCTTTTTAATTCATTTAGAAATTAGTTTTCCATTTGTTTATAACGTGTATATAACAACTATGTACTTCTGTGACCACTACTGCTTTTTTGTAGTTTCATGCTGCTCGGCGCTCATGAATGCACTTCTGAATGACGACATTGGGTTTCAATTCGAGGTGAGTTGCATTTTTTGATTCACTTGTAATATTCAGATTGAAACGCTCGTTATAAGCTAACGTAGCGATTAATCGTTTCATTGTGTTTTGATAATTGTTCAGGATTCGATAGTTCTTGTTTCGCAATCTTCGTCACTAGTAGCTGACTAGTTCGCCGAGAAATTTTCATTGTTTCTATATAATCAATCGAAAGAAAGTTATATTTACAGTATTCTCCAGCTTCTCTCTTCTTGCAACCTCGGCATGTTGTAAGTCTTTCAGTTGTTCTGTGCCTTACGAGGTTGATAGGTGGAACATTT